GGTTGGGGAAGTCGGTAAGTTGGTCGGTAAGAATTCATCAGGCTCTGCGTCGTTGCTGCTGCCGGGAAGAGATGCGCGGGACACATGCGAGTAGTGGCTCATAGCGGACGGCGACGCAGCAATCGCGGCGGCTTGCTCAGCTGGCGACACGACAGGCATAATGTTGACCATTTCCTGTGCAGAAATGCCGGCACCGGGCATGGGAGCCGAGGACACTACGAGAGCACTGGGGTTCATTGTGCTTTTCGAAACAGATCCCGAGGAGGGGACACCAGAGGCAAAGCCCATATCCATAGTATGGTTGTCCATACCATCAAATAGATCGTCGTCGAAGGGGCTTTCCGAGCCATCGCTTCGAGGTGAATTACCCGCTGAGTTGTCAGAGTAACCAGAGTGCGACGAGCGATCAGGGGATGCCGAACCACCCATGCCAGAAGCCTTGTTCTTGGACCGAGTGCGAGACGACTTGTCGCGGCGCGCATCCAGACTGGGGCGGGACTTGCGAGGGCGACCGCGCTTGCCAATCTTGCGAACAGCACCGTCAAAAGCACCAATACACATGCCACGCTGACGATGGCGCGTGAGGGCGTCGTGGCGGGCAAAATTATTGCCGCACTCGCATGGGTATGGCTTCACACCAGTGTGAATCTTGGCGTGGCGTTTCAGGTCATGCTGGCGAACAAAGCACTTTTGGCAGTGCGGGCACTGGTACTGGCGGTCATTGAGATGCGTCTGAACGTGGGACTTGATGTTCTCCTTGCGACCAAAGCGTTTGTCGCAGTTCTCGTACAGGCACCGCCATTTGCCATCGGCAGGGTTGGGTCCTTCGATGTAGATGGCAATGTCGTCAAGAGTAACACCAGTCTCTGTCCGGGTCTCGTCGATGTTGATGCTCGCAATGCTGGCGGCACTCGCGATGCTGGCTATCGACTCGTTACGCTTATGGGGTGCTCTGTGGCGGGACGGCCCGGGGGTCTCGGATTGCGAGGGCGAAGCAGGGCGGCCCGAGCCAAACGGCGAGACGGTGGACTGCGAGTCGTACTCGGTGGCCCACAGATCGGACTTCGCAAAGACATCGGGGTTGCCCACCATGTTGCTGTCAAACACGCCCTGGATCGTGGCAGGTGTTGGGTGCTGGGATTGGGGTGGGGACAGGTGCTGCATGTCCGCTGGAACGGGCATAGCAACAAAGCCGCCATTCTGCATGTTCATACCCATGAAGTCAGCCGGAGTCATGGGCATCCGGATCATGTTGGACCGAGGCGGCGTGGCCAAAGCCATGGCCTCGGCTTGTTGGCGCAGGTCATCAAAGACACCGGACGAACGGTTCGAGTGGTGTCCTCGGTTCCGCTGTGGCTTCAGGGTCTCCTCCATAGACTCGTCATAGTGGTCTGCGAACCGGTCGAGACGAGGAGCGCCCTGGTGCTTCTCCATTCTTTCGAGGGGAGTTTCCGTCGGCGTCGGCGGGAAATATTCTAGTCGATGTTAGCCAATGGGCCACAGCACTGGTGTCTCCGGGGAAAACATGGCAACTCACTATTTTCATTCTGGTGGGGAGGCGTAGCTGGTCTTTGCATCTCCATGGCCATGCCCTCGAATTTGGACACCCGATCCAGGATTCCGTTGCTGACTCTCCGCGAAGAACGGCGTGTGCTAGAGGTATCGTCTTCGGACGCCCAACCTTGCGGAGAGGTAGCCGACGGGGGGAAGCCTGCAGTATTGCTGGCATGTTGGAAGTTCATGAATGCTGTGGGAGACTGGAGACCATGGTGGCCGGAGTTTGCAAAGAGCTGGAAATCTTGCTGTTGCATGGGCAGGCCACCGCCGGAGAGCGACTTTCTCATCATGGCGGCAGTGGGCCCATTGTAGAAGTCGAAGGAAGCATCAGCGCAGTCCTGCTGGTGCTGCCGTTGTTGTTGTTGCTGCTGTTGCTGTTGCTGTTGCGCGAAGAGAATAGCTTGCTCACGGGACTGCTTCGCAAATTGTTGGGCTTCGATGCCCTGGCGTACTGTGCGTTGCTGCTGCGTATCTTGCATAACATGCTGTGCTGTGGATTGTCCTTGGTTAGTGGTTGCGGATGCCGCCGCGGCCGCTGCTGCCATGAGCTGCTGCTGCTGCTGTTGATGCTGCTGCTGCAGCTGCTTCTGCTCTAGCTTCTGCTGGTTCTGCAATTGCTGGATCTGCTGTTGTCTCTGGTGGCGCTGCTGCAGCTGTTGCCGTCTCGTATCGAGGCTCAGACCCCGGCGGTGTCCAACCTGGCGAGATACTTGCTGTTTCTGTAATTGTGCTTGTGAAAGTGCTTGAGACTGAGGATACGCTTGTAATTGAGCAGATTGCTGCATGGTGGCAGCGGCAGCGGCGGCAGCGGCTTGCTGCTGTTTGGAGGGCGGCGGCGAGGACCCGCTCATCTTCATCGCCTCGAACGCGGCTACCGGGGTAGACTTTTGTCTCCGGTGAAGCCGTTGGCGAGTCTGAAGAGCGCTGCTCTGTGTGTTGTTGATGGGTGTGGACAGCATGGTTGTAACTCCTGTGTGGGAGATTGGCAGAGGACAAAAGAGTCTGCGAGATTGAGTTCGGAAAGTAAAAATCGTCGGAATTGTCGTGAAAATTGGCCGTTCGTGTCGATGTCGATATTGTCGAAATTTGTCGAATTGTTGTCGTCGGTTGTCGTAGTTGCTATCGTCGTCGTCGATTTTTGTCGTTGTCGTTTGTCGAAAAAGTTGTCGCAATTAAGCGTACCTATATCGAAAAGGTAGGTTCCGAAACTGTCCGCCATGTTAGTTGCTTGCCTTTGATTCTCAGAATCATGATCCCTGAGAACTCACCTCACGCAGGGGGCAAGCCAGATGGCCAGGCGAAAGGAGGATCCCGAGGTCGTGCTCAGTCAAGGGTGACTGGATTGTCAATAGCACAAATCGGTAGAAGTTGAAAGGAGTTCGAAGGAGATGGAGATGCGAGAACCGAAGTCCTCTCTGGGTCTGGGTAAGCTCTCTTAGTCCTTTGGCAAGAAGAAAGCTGTTTGGTCTGTTTGAGGTCTTTCTTTACTTTCTAATCCTCTTTCGAAAAAGAAGACGAGAAGCAAAGAAAGGTACTAGATGCTTGTTGGATTTCAATTTGGTTTGGGTTGGATATCAGAAAGAGAAGAGTAACAAGGAAAGAGGTGGATGAGGAGGAGGGAGAGAGTATGAAAGGATGAGAGTAGAGAAAACGTATGAAGTTTTATTGGAATGCCGGCGAGAGTAACCAGGCCAGAGCACAATGGAAATAATGGAGCCGTATGATGCAGGTGTGTTTGACGATGGGAGGTCGTGGACTTTGGTTGTTGACTGGCGTTGCCTAGCAACCGACGTTTAGGGTGTGAACGTAGTGGGCTTTTGGGCGTTTTCATGCAGGCGCGAGTGACGGTAGGCTGGGCGGCACCTGCCAAGCTGGGAGCGAATTAATCCATACTTTTGGGCTTGTTTTACGACCGAATCCACTGTCATCCGTCGCTCTTTCCTTTACTTTCGCTGGTTGTCGTTTCCATACATACGCCCCCCCTTTCGCCTTCCAGATTGGAAGCTGCACACGCCCTCAGCTCTTCAATTTCGACTGGCGCCGCAAGGAAGGCTGCCACTTCGGAAGGAAAGGGGAGGGCAGACGAGATTGAAGCACAGATGATAATACGAAAATGGCAGGAGCGACAATGCGCTGTTTGTCGAACGGCCGAGGCAGGAAACCGCAACTACGACGTTTCAGAATCGTCTGGCGACAAGAGACTGGTGGAATTGGGTTCGGGGCCTTATTTGAAATACTCTGGTAATTTGCTTTGAAGGAGGCACGTCTGAATGATTTGTTGAAACGATGTTTGTGCGCTTTTCGATGTCAAATGGTTGCTTCTGTTGATTCCCTGCGACATCTTTGAAGGACGGCCGATGCTCCACCAAAGCAATTAGCCAACAGCTAGGGATGCTCATCGGTAACAGCTGAAAATAGCACCCATTAATACATGTACAGAAAACCCCGGCGTCTCGTTTCTGTGGAAATTTCCTTGCTTCGGCCCCTTTTACTTTTTATTCCTCATCGCCCTTGCGTTTGTCTAATTACCTTTTGTTGTATCTCGTCTAATTATAATTTCAGATGTCCTGCGTTGTTCAAATCCGCGTCAAAAGCAATATGAAATTAAACAATCCGTTGAAAGTCGTCGTTTGCTTTTATTGCTTCTCTGTTTGTCTTCCAGCAATGTTTTCTAGTACTATTGTGCTTTATTTTTCTTGTGTTTTGCGTCCAGCGCCACATTTACCTCGCTCGATTGACTCGGATGGCACTGGATAGTATTACTGGCTGCTTTGGCAGGACGACGGCGAATAATGGTTTCAGGTCGTAACGTCTTCCTGGGCTCTTTCAAATTGGCCAGTTTGTTTCCTCACCCTCCAACAAGGACGATTTCCATATCCGGTTATTTTTTCTATTTGCTTGATACTTTCCGTAAGACAGTTAGTAGATGAGAAAATCTCTATTCACCGTACGTCTCCATGGCTACTTTCCGCCTTTGTTGTACCTACGCCCGTGAAGAAGTATTGCCTCGTATCGTACGACGTATTGCCATCAAACAGTGCTCCTTTTCTCGTATATCTGCACAGAGAGGGTCTGGGCTCATGACAATGCCGGCAATTGGGGCTAGGTGGTACTAACAAGTTATCTGCAATTCGTTTTCTACATTATTTTGATCGGTACGTCAATGTACGCCCAATGCTACAAGTGCATTGGACTCTCGGTTTTCGGCAATCCAGTTGTCACTGCCAGGCAGTCCTATGTATGTCTTGGACCGAGTCTGTCAGATGGTGTTATAGTTGTATTCGGAGATGGAGTGTGGTAGCATCGCTGTGTATCCGGCAATGCTGCACGAGTGGACTGCATTATCGCAATCTGCATCAAGAACCAGCAAACTCGTCGATTGTGACGGTTGGAGCCAGGAGGATTGTTAAGTATTATCCTGTCATCGGATCAACCGACCAGGAATGGCGGCAGTTGCCAAGCCTCACTATCGGGGATTTCACGACTCTCCCACCACGCTCGAAGAAGGAAAAACGGAACATGTGTTCCTATTCCCGGTTCAAAAGCAGGACATCATGACTTTTCTTGTTCTTTTGTCTCACACAGCACGGACATTCGGATGGGTGCGCTCCCTGCTTGGCACAGATCTTGCCCAAATTGGGCGATATGAGATTGCCACGACGGACAAGCCTATGTCGTACATGCCTCGCGATTGCCCGCTACGACAGGAATGTGCCGACTTCCCTCGCTTCAACCGGGGCAACAGAAGACAGGACAAGATACAGGAGCGCATGATTTATTTGGGGGAATTCGTCTCGTCGCCGTTGCAGGCCGCGTGGCCGGCCGCTCTATGTCATGTCTCTGGTGGCGTGTCCTCGGTGATTGTCGTTGGATGCGGGAAAAGAAAGGAAAGTAAATAGACAGAAAAAAGAAAACACAGAAGAAAACTGTGGTAATACCCGAATGGATTGAGGACGAAGGCAGTTTGTTCTCTGACCTACGTACCACCCCAGTGCAGCTGCCGACTCTAATGCAGACAAGGAACTGTTGACTTAGACATCTACCTAGAGAAGGAGCATCGAGGTGTGCCGCTAGATCGAGAGACAACTCGGACATCTCGGGTATGCAGACGGGAATGGCTTACTGCTGCGTAGCCGATGTCACCGTTGTTGACTTTGAAGATTGTTTGTTTTGCAACGGTCGTCGCGAAGCTACAAGAACAAACAAACAGCAGAACATCAGACTTCGACACGGCGAGGTGCACTCTCGAATCCCAATAGCCCGGCCCCGATATTACTTTAGGTGTTCATGCAAGGCACCCGCGTCCGGGGTTGTGACAAGGGTAGTGACATATGATGTTCTCCATCAGTGCGCAAAGTCCATCGTGCTGGTTTTTTTCTCTCTTTTCTCTCTGTCTATTTTTTGGGATATTGTCCAAAAATGTGAAAAAGAAAGAAAGAAAAAGAACACAAGGCCAACTAGAACCCCCCCAAGTTCTCCATTTGCCTTACCACTACTTCCATGAGGCTAAAGTCAACAATCCAAAAACATTATTTCGATTGTTTATTTACTTCGACTTTACTGTGATCGTGGCCACAAGAGGAAAGCGAAGGTGGCTTAATTGGACTAGAAAAGGACTCCTTTGGCAGAAGAAAACTGCAATGTCAACACCACGATGCAGATTAGTCTTGCTCTGCACGTCATTGTTGCTTTGTAGTATCGCATGGCCTTTGTTATCAAAAAGGATGAAGTAAACGCGTCGATAACTGCGGGGGTAAGTAAACAGCCCCGTTAAGTGCAAAATCACCAACGCGAACCAAGAAATACGCCAAACCGAGTACGGCTACACTGCTACAGGGCACTAAAATGCCTTGTGCCGTCCGTTTTAGCGGCCAGAGCCCCACTTTCCCCTGGCTCGTCAGTTGGCATTTTGTGTTTGGTCCCCTAACATGTAGCAGCAGCCATCTTCCCCCTCCTCCAGCTGGTCCGTGCATCTCCAAGACAACAAACGCTGCGACACCGCCAAATACACATGCAGGTCTCCCCACGCCACAGTCAACCGAAAAGTCCCTGCCCACTTCTGTTCCATTTCTACTGGAGTAGGGCAAGTGGAAATCAACCCACCTTCAATTGCCAGAAACGTGCCAGTGGCCTGTGTGCTCCCCTGTCTGCCCCGCGACGTTCATTGGGCCGCCAGTCTGCAGCCAGTCGAAGAAAACGCAAGGCAACGTTCGGGAAGAAGAAAAAAACCACAAATTAAACGACAGAAACAGGAGAGCGAAATAGCGGACATTGGACGACCTTTCTGCGCTCCTGTGCTTTTGCGTGTTCTCCCTCCCCTTCCCGCCTCTCGTGTTGGTGATCTGGTCTACCGCTCACCTCTTCCTGTCTACTATTGACAAGGGGCTCTATACGACACCGTCCTGTCTCGTCCTTCACCCCCTCTCATCCCTCTCGTCCCTCTCTCGACCCTTCTACGATCACGACCTCGGTAACCATGTCCGGTAATACTGTGCGCGGCACGCCGAACCGTGGCCAAGCCCGCGGCGCCATTCCGTTCAACAACAGCCCGGCCGCCAACTCGAGTATACCGCGGCCTGTACTCGACAACCACAGCCACATCGGCTCCGATGGCGGTGCCGCCGCCGGCGGTGGTGGTGGCGGTGCTGCTTCGTCGGTCAGCGCCAGTCGGCAGAAGCAGTCAAAGCGGGACGAGGTGAGCAACTTATATTTTGTTCTGACCATATGTCGTGGCATATCATAGCATTGGTCAACATCCCACTAACCCCCACGTCTCTCTCCAGGCCATCCGCCGCAAACTCGAGAGCGATCTGAACAAGAAGAAGCCGAACGCGCCTGGCCGCGCCCGCCACTCCCGGAAGGCCCCGCCAGGCACCGTCCTGGCCCTCAAGCCGAGCCCTGCTCTGCAGATCAAGCCCGCCACCACAGTGGCCGAGGCCGCCCAACTGATGGCCGCCAAGCGTGAGGACTGCGTGCTGGTTACCGACGACGACGACCGCATTGCCGGCATCTTCACCGCCAAGGATCTGGCGTTCCGTGTGGTCGGTGCCGGTCTCAAGGCTAACACCGCCACCATTGCCGAGATCATGACCAAGAACCCCCTGTGTGCCCGCACCGATACCAGCGCCACGGACGCCCTCGATCTCATGGTGCGCAAGGGCTTCCGCCATCTCCCCGTCATGGACGAGAACCAGGATATTTCGGGTATTCTGGACATCACAAAGTGCTTCTACGACGCCATGGAGAAGCTAGAGCGCGCTTACTCCTCGTCGCGCAAGCTTTACGACGCCCTCGAGGGTGTGCAGTCCGAGCTCGGCGCCAGCCAGCCGCAGCAGATCATCCAGTACGTCGAGGCGCTGCGGTCCAAGATGTCGGGACCCACGCTCGAGTCTGTCCTCAATGGCCTGCCGCCGACCACCGTCAGCGTGCGCACCTCGGTCAAAGAGGCCGCCCAGCTGATGAAGGACAACCACACGACGGCCGTGCTGGTCCAGGACCAGGGCGCCATCACGGGCATTTTCACGAGCAAGGATGTTGTTCTTCGTGTGATTGCACCCGGCCTGGACCCGGCCAACTGCAGCGTTGTGCGCGTCATGACGCCGCACCCCGACTTTGCGCCGATGGATATGAGCATCCAGGCGGCGCTGCGCAAGATGCACGGTATGTTGGGTTGCCCCAGAATATGCCATTGCCCTTTCCTTCCTTTACTAACATGCCGTACCGTTAGACGGCCACTACCTCAACCTCCCCGTCATGAACGACAGTGGTGAGATCGTCGGTATGGTCGACGTCCTCAAGCTGACCTACGCCACCCTTGAGCAAATCAACACCATGTCGAGCGGCGACAGCGAAGGCCCCGCCTGGAACAAGTTCTGGCTCTCCCTCGACCACGAGACCGAGTCCATGGTCTCGGGCGACGGCAGCCACCACCACACCCACATGACCTCGTCGCGCATGATGTCGCCCGAGCTGTCCCGCGACGCCCACGGCAACATCCTCCACGGCCGCGTCGATAGCGTCGCGCCGGGCGATTCGGCCTCCCATGTCGGCGTCGAGTCTCCGCCGCACTCGGCCGTGGCGCCCATCACACCCGAGCTTCCGCCCAGCGAGGTTCCATTCCCCTTCAAGTTTAAGGCCCCGAGCGGTCGTGTACACCGCCTCCAGGTGATTGCCGCCCAAGGCGTTGCTGTCTTTGTCGAGAATGTTGCGTCCAAGCTGGGTGCCGAGGCCGACACCATTGGCGGCGTCCCTGCCGTAGCCGACGGCAAGGTTACCGGCGCCGGGTTTGCCATTAGCTACCTGGACGACGAAGGTGATTCGGTGTCCATCACGGCTGACCAGGACCTGGTTGAGGCTGTGCTGTTGGCCCGCCACGGCCACCTGGAGAAGGTCGATCTATTTGTACACGACCCGTCCAAGCCGCCCGTTGCCGCTGCCGCCACCCCTGCTCTTCCGACGCCGGCCTCTTCGGACCGTGCCACGTCGGGCGTGCGCAGCCGGCGCGGCATCCACCGGTCGTCGGGTGACGATGAGGACGAGGATGACGACGAGGACGAAGACTCGGATGACTCGGCGTACGTGCGCAAACAAAAGACCAAGGCCCGCCGCGCCCGGCGAAACAACAACCGCAGCAAGGGCAGCATTGGCAGCGCTGCCGAGAGCGTTGGCGCCGCCAGCAAGGCTTTTGGCGAGTTTGCGGCCAACAGTTTTGGTGCCGGCACCGACGAGCAGCTGATCCAGGGTGTGCCCAACGACCTGCTGTTGCCGGGTGCCATTGTGACCCTGTCGGTGGTAATCCTGGGTGTCTTTACGATTTCACGGTTGACGAGATGATTTAAATGTTTCCTGGTTGGTTTTTTATATTCTTGTCAAACCTTCTTTTTAACTTACCGTCTCCTTTTGGTATGTGTCCTTTTCTCATTGTTCCTTTTTCTTTTTACGCAAATAAAGGCCGTCTCAGTCTTCTCCACTTTTCTGTTTTATATTCCTTTTTCTTCATAGAAAAGGGCGCCACCAGCAATGCACGCGATGTCTTGAAACACTACGCCGCTCACTATGCGATAATGTTTTGTGTGACATACTCAGAAATAAGAAAGCCTGTGAAGTTGGTCGTAGTTCGGGAACGATTGTTAGGCGAGGCTTTGGAGTGTAGCTACACTAGCCAATCACAGAATGCAGTTGAATAAATATGGGGCCGTTCTGGTAATTCCTTAGCGCCGAAAAAATAGGCTGAGCTTCAATTTTCGTGATGCTTCAGAAACGTGCCACACGACAGTCAACAGGAGACGTCTTGGACGGAGGCAAATTGCGCGTTGACTCTCCACCCAGCGACAGACCGAAATTGCACCTGAATCGGTTCATTGACTGCGACAACCATGATTGGACGGGCCGTGCTCCGGCAGAGTACGTCTCCATCCGGTCGAGGACAGCGACGTTTGCAAACTTTCACTAACGTTCTTTTACCAGGCCGGGGAGCGCTCGTCACACCGCCGGCCCCGATCAGCAGCCAGCTCAGCCAGATCTGCCGCCGTGCCTTCCTCTCTACAGACTCGACAACGACGTCCATACCATCACAGACGACACCGCCGACAACAAGTACGCAACCGTCACGGCCGAACACTGCGCCTCAACCGTATGGCACAAAACGCGTCCCATTGGCCTTGCGCCCGGAGATGACCAGCCATCTTGCAGCCAAGTTCGTCGCCAAGGGAAAGGCGAAGCGCAAAACGGCGGGCCTCGGTTCCTCGGTTGAGCGTCTCTACGTACCCGACGAACTGATCCGCAACCCGCCCTACCCCAAGGACGTCACTCTCGAGCTTCTCATGGCGTCCCAGACGCACCTCGGCCACAACACATCTCTGTGGAACCCGGCCAACTCCCGCTACATCCACGGCATACGCACCGGCATCCACATTATCTCGCTCGAGCAGACCGCGCTGTACCTCCGCCGCGCCGCCCGCGTCGTCGAGGAGGTCGCCTACCATGGCGGCATCATTCTCTTTGTCGGCACCCGCAAGGGCCAGGCCGACATTGTCGTGCGCGCGGCCGAGCTGGCGGGCGGCTGCCATGTCTTTGACCGATGGCAGGGCGGCACGATTACGAACCGCGACCAGATGCTCTTCCGCAGCAAGCAGCGCATCGTCGACGAGCAGGACCGTGACATCTCGGACGAGGGCTTCCGGTCGCACCTGTTGCGGCGGCGGCCGCTGATTCCCGACCTCGTGGTGGTTCTCAACCCGATGGAGAACTTTGTGCTGCTGCGGGAGTGTGCGGGTGCGACGGTGCCGACGATTGGCGTGATCGACACGGACGCCGACCCAGGCCGCGTTTCGTATCCGATCCCGGCCAACGACGACAGTCTGCGGTCGGCGGCCCTGATTGCGGGTGTTTTGGGCCGCGCGGGCGAACTGGGGCAGAAGCGGCGGCTGCGGGACGCCCGCGAGGGCGTTGTGGCGTGGGAGAACGCGGAGGAAATTAACCGGTTCATGGATAAGCGGAACCGGGCAAACGAAGCCCTCGAGTCTGGCGAAAAGAGGAAGGTCAAGTGGTCATCGCGGACGGCTTTGTCCGGCGGAAATATCTTCTAAAGAGCTTGCGGGGAGTGGTTCGAGAGCTGTCCCGGTTTGGCAAGTTCCAGAGCTGCAACTCCCACTCGAGTTACGCTGGCAATTTCTGGGAACCTGTTTGGCTGGGGCAAGTATGTATCATTATTCCTATTTATATGTCACACAGTTATGAAGGTCTACACCAGTTCAGACCTCGACACGTGAAAGTACAGATGATTTTCTCACAGTCCTGCATGCACGGCAGTCGTTGCCGAAAACCTTCGCCGTCTCTCATTAGGAAGAAATTTTTCTTATTCGTAAAAATCCGTTGTTCCTTTTTGCGCATCGTTCTCCTCGTCCATCTGCGTGGTACATTTTTCTTTCCCTATTGTCGGCTCGGCAGTGCTGAGCCGATACAGCCAAACATTGATCGCCAATGAAGATTAAACAACAAGCAGGAAGTCCCGGGAGGCATGCCTTGCGTGCGTGGCCATGTTAGTTCAAGTTATACCATTTGTTGATCTGTCATATTTCTGGTCTACTGTTTTCGTCTGCCTGCTCCTTATCTCGATTTCGCATTGTTCTGCTTCTTGGTCGTGCCATGGGGGGATGTGGTCCTGGCGTGTGCGATCGACCATTCATGCGAAGCCTCGCCCGTTTCATAATAAATCCGTTCTCACAGAACTTCACACCTTTTCAACCTTTCTTCTCACAGCTTGTAATTTTTTTGTGCAATTATACTGAAGGCCCCCACCACATGCACATCGACTATACGGAGACACATAGACACGAAAGACACGTATCAGTGGTACCTGGACGCCCTTGAAAATGATGTCTTGGCAATACAAGATGCAAGTGATGGCTTGCTGGTTCTCGTGATTGATGTGCTCGGCATCGAAGAATCCTGCCAAGTCTATCCGTATCTACTTATTTCAGTCTCGTCCCTATTTCGTCTTCTTTTCTCGCTCTTTTCCCTTCTCGAAGCACACAAGGTGGGATTCGCTCCATCCCTCTCTGGGGGATTTGCCAACCATGTTTCTGCTTGTCGCGTCTGTCTTCTCCGACGGGTCTGATCGTACGCACCTGCTTGCGTGTGACCGTGTTTTACGGACCTTTTTGTCGTTCGGTTCTGCATTTATAATATGGTTTGCCTCTCTCCTGACATGCTCTGTGAAGCAGTAAATCAAATTATCTTGACACCTTTCAACTTACTTCCACCAGCGATACTGTTTACAACGTCGTCCGGGTCCTCCAACGTATAGAATCGCTATGAAAGCCGCCACGCTTACCGTTTCTCTTATTCAAAAGCCGTATAGTCATTGCAACGACGCGATCACACAGGTTCAGCGTCCTACATTACTGATGGCTCATCGGCGCCCACGTTACCATCACCATTGTTGAGCCTTCTTTGGCATCTCTCGTCATGGTCGCTTTTCCGGCCATGGCCTCCATGGGGTCTTCATTTATGCAAGCCGTGACCGAGCCCGATCTCTCCGCCATGGACGTCATCAGTCCCCCAGACGAAAACGTTGGTCCCACGCTTGTCGTCACGTCGTCCGTCCTCATGTTTCTCGTTTTTGTGACCACGACGCTTCGGCTTCTCGTCCGCGCCCGAAACCGCATGCTCGGCTGGGACGACCTGACCATTGCACTCGTCGCCATCCTCTCCGCCACGCGTCTCGGATGCCAGATTGCGCAGGTGCACTTTGGCGACGGCCGCCACCGGAGCTACATTGACGCCAGTGATTACCAAACAGCCAACCGATTCGGGTGGTACGCGCTGCTGCTCTTCTTCGTGGCCATTTGCCTTATGAAGATTTCGATCTGCTTACTGCTTCTGCGGATCAAGAACGAGCGGTGGCTGCGGTGGCTGATTTATGGGATGGTGGCCGGATTGCTGGCGACCAACGGCGGCGTGGTGATCATCCTGCTCGCCGAGTGTCGTCCGGTCGACGAGTATTGGAACAACATGGGCGCATGCTGGGACCCGCGGGTGCGTGTGTTTAGCATCTACCTGACGATTGGGTACGCCGTCCTAACGGACCTGCTTTGTTCCTGTCTGCCGCTCGTGGTCATCTGGAGAGTTCGCATTCCGCTCAAGTCGAAGATGCTCGTCTGTGGGCTCATGAGTCTGGGGCTGCTCGCAACCGGCTGCGGTATTGGGCGAGCCGTCTCTCTCAGTATCATGACAACGGACTTTACCTGTAGGTTTTTCCAGAACGCTCATTGCTTTAGAACGTCAAGCGACTGCCAGCTGATACCTCGACAGGGGCCTTTTGCATAACAGAGATCTGGGCCAATTGCGAGCTCTTCGTTGGCACCATCGCAGCCAATCTTGCCTTGTCTCGCTCCTTCTATGTCTATTTTTTCGAAGACGACCGTTCAGCTCACAGTGGGAGCGGAGGCGGTGGAGGTAGCGGTGGAGGCAATGCGGCACACAATGGCAGAGCCGGAAGTGGCCGCGGCAGTGGTCCTCGAGGTACATCGAGTCAACATTGGAGCTTTTACGGCTCCCAGTCGCACGGCTCTCCTCATGGCCTGGCAATCTTGAGCAACCTTCACCTGCCGTGGTCCTGGAGACACCGAAGCTGGCGATATGGAAGGAATCGAAACAATATCAGCAGCCACACAGGCAGTCTGGAACGACACCATATCTTCCGTCGCCAGTCATCCTACTCGCCAAGTCGAATACCTGGCTTAAACGGATCACGCTCTCAGACGGCGACCTCGGAGGCAACCCCCGCAACGGGGGGGAGTACGTCTGCTGCACATCTCTCACACATAACAAGACGGCTCAGGTCGTTTGTTTGTAGTAGGGTGTTGTTTTGGAGACCTCAATCGATACACTCAACGAACGATCCAAGCACAGAAAAGGAGACGCCCTCGATGTCCCACGACAAGGGGAAAATGATGGTCGTTGGAGTGATGCCAATGCAAAGTCATAGCGGAAGCATAACCACCCTGGAAGATGGTGTCGTCGCTCGAAATAGCGAGGGTGCTGGCCAGCGCGGCAATGACTCTTCGGCGGGTGTCGTTACAAGAGGTCGCGGACGTGCGCTCGATCGTGGGGAAGCGCGAAGCTACACACGGGACGGTAGAAGCATCAGCAGCAGCACCACGGTGGCCAGCCGTCGGCGCAGCAGTCTCTACTATCACCACCACCTGAGCAAACAGCATCCATACGGCGGCGGCGCAGCTGCTGCAAGACCATGGCCCTCAACCGTGGAAGTGGAAGCAACGGCGTCTGCTGGTGAAAACAGCGGCATGCCAGCCGGTGTGGGTGTTATCGAGAAGCGGACCGAGTTCTGGATCTCCGAGGAGGAGCTCGACCGGGGTGACTTTGACGACCAAGAGGAAGCATTTGCCGAAAGTGCCAAGGAATGCACCGACAACACTGCCGAAAACACCGCGCCGGGCAACGAGAGCAAGGACACCACGCCGCAAGCCTCTGCCGCATATCTTTCTCGGGGCCGGACCGTCTCGAACGCATCTACAGCAACGGCCGTGGACACAAATAGGGACGCAGATGTGAGCAGCTCGAGTGGAAGCAGCACTAATCATAATCATGGGAGCGAAGATGATCTAGAGCTCGGACTTCACCCGCCGCCGCGGGCGCATCTCTCGTGAAGCGAGCGGTGGGTTACGATTTTACGACAGATATGCCGCAGACCGGATCTGCTATCCATTTTGTCGTTATTCCATCCTTATGAATTGGATTTTGGGACTCGGTGTTTTTATTTTCATCCATATTGTATTGTGACAATTATATAATGGAGCATTATCACTGTCGACATGTGACCCCCGATTACCAAACTTTGAATAATTAAATTTGGTTTGTGATCTGTTCAAATCTGGAAAATTGTACACAAGAATCGCATCACGACACACCCAGACCTCTCCTTCCAGATTTGATAAAAGTCGCTCCTTCCTCACTTGCCATTGGCACACCATCGCTCTTTCCCCCGCTCCTGTCTACTACACACCAGAGTCGTCCTGACGGAATGGGTCGTTGGCTGGATAGTACGCGCCCCATGTGCTGCACTGGCTGTTGATGTTGCTCAAGTCGACCTTTTGCGGAATCGCGCCCAGCTGTTCCAGGAATTGTACGCTGAGCCCCTGCGAGACGTGCCAGGCCACGTGGCAGTGGAACAGCCACGCGCCCGGGTTGTTCGTCTGGAACGCAACCACCAGCCAGCCCCAGGCCGGCAGCATCGTCGTGTCCCGCCGCGTCGGGTTGTTTCCGCGCAGGTTGACGGCGTCCGTGGCCGGGTTGTACGGGCGCAGCGTGTAGCCCGGGCGCAGCGGCTGGGCCAGCGCCGGCGACGCGCCCAGGACCATGATGTCGTGGCCGTGCAGGTGCACGGGGTGCGGAATGGGCGAGTTGTTTTGGATGAGCCAGTACGTAGTGACGCCCGCGGAGGGCACGGACACGACGTTCTCGGGGGTCGGCATGCTGCCGGTCGTGCCGTTCAGGACGTACTGCAGCGTGGGCTGGTTCCACGAGACGTTCATGGGCGAGTTGTTAACGGGCCAGAAGACGCGTGCAACGCCGTTCTGGCTGAGAATCATGTTGGTGTTGAGGGTGTCGCCCGAGTTGGGCGAGAAGGTGGATGCGCCGGGGGCCGTGCGCGACACGATGGGCGTGAAGAAGGACGCCGGCGGGTCGGCGCAGCTCGGGTCCGGTGGCGCTGTGCCGGCACTGGTGGGTGTCGGCTTGGGAGGCGTCGCACCCACATACGACACGATGGCGGCCGGGCGCGGGTTGTTGCTGATACCGCAGGGGCCGGTGGGCATGGTCACGTTGAGCCAGTAGAGACCCGAGGCCGCGGTGGCATTGATGATGACATCGTAGCGCTGGCCGACGGCGACGTAGAGGCTGGTCACGGTCTTGGGCTGCACGGGCACCAGGTCGGTGGCCACAATCGTAAACGAGTGGCCGACGAGCGAGACAGTGTACGTGTTCTCGACGGACGGGTTGACAATGCGCAGCAAATGGGCCTTGTTGGGCGTGAGAGCGATCGTCTGGTAGCTGCCGCCGCTGCCCTTGGGGTTGATGTTCTTGCCGTTGAACAAGATATTGTCGCTGGGCGGCGTGGATCCTGGGAAGCCCGGAATAAAGGGATTGTTGGGGTTGTTGACGCGTGCCAGTGTGGTGTCGACGGGCGCATAATACCAGTCGGAGATGAGCAGCGGACCGAGATCAACGTCGTAATTGGCCGACGCCGGCCCGTTGATCACAATGGCGCCCAGTACGCCGTTGCCGTACTGGGCCGAGAAGTGTGAGTGGTACCACGACGTTCCGTACTGCGTGGCAAGGAACGAGTACGTCTTGCTCCCTCCAGGCTTCACGGGACACTCGGTGATGCCACTGGTGCCGTCGTTTTGGTTGGAGTTGAGCTGGCGGATGCCGTGCCAATGGATAGAAGTACTACATGGTTAGCTGGGAGAATTACAACAGGGAGAGAGGAATTGCTTACCCGTTCGTCACCAAGTTGTTGATGATCGTCACGTTGATGCGGTCACCCCAGTCTGGAGGTCAGAAAAATATATAGCACAGCACCAAGAAAAAAGGAAGGGGCTTGACATACTGGCAGTAATGGTTGGGCCTTGTCTTGTTAGTATTGACAAATAAAAGAGTATCGTATCAAGGACGACAGGAGAACACGTACCAGGGAAAATTCCATTCACAAGCATCGCCTTGGTTTTGACCACGCCATCGCCGCCGACATAATTGTTCACTTCACTTATCGTGAACGTATACGTCTGCGTATGACCCGTTACGGGTGTGCTCGTCTCATAGTCGGTGGTGATGTCGTACCCAGACGACCAGCACTGCCGGTTGCCCGCCGTGTTGCACGACTGTCTTGGCTGCAACACCTGTAGTTCGTCACCCGGAAGAGGCGAGGCCAGAGTCAAGCTGGCCAGCAAGGCCACAAAGAGTAGCTGAAAGAAGCGGGCTGCCATTGTATGTCACAATGAGTAGGATGTCCTGGTAGTTGGAAGTAGATAAAATAAGAGATACTCTCCAAGAAGCAAACAGTAACAATAGCACATCGTCGGCGTCTGGCATAGGCAAGGTCTGTCGTGATATCCGTCTCCTTATATATGTACAGAATCTCTCACTTCCAACACTTTCTCTCTTCTCGAGCTGACGTCTCCGAGTCTGCCGTTCACATTTGTTTTACAAATTGCTATTATTTGTTTTATTTCCTCGCTTTCCTATGCACGAACACGACTTGCATCCTGCTTACACGGCGTGCCTTGCGTCGATCCTGGGATGTTGCACCCGCCCTCCTTCTTTCTCGTCCTGTTTTCGTTCCTGACCTCATCTTTGGCCCTGTGCATGTCAAAGAGGCTTAGTCGTGATGCACACGTTTGTCGACGATGGTTGCCAATGGCAAGGCATGGGGTCAGGTCTACCAAAGAAGGTATTGCTTGGATACCCCAGACTATCCTCTTTTGGCCCGTCTTGACTTTCTTTCTCTTTTTTTTCGTTTCTATTTTTCATTGTTCCGCATCATCCGCCAGTTCCAGCAGACAGCAGGCAGCCTACAATGAGACGGCGAGCCATATCCTGATCCACATCGCTTGCTCGTTCCTCCCTCCCCTTTTCTCGTCGTCACTCCCCCTCTCTTCCCACGTGGAGTCGCCACTGGTACTCGTAGTTTGGTTAGGATCAAGGCATCTTTTCTTCTCTTTGACATCATGGGCCTCTTCCACTTCTCCAAGCTCGCCAAGCTGTCTGGTCGTGCTGAAGCTACGTCGTACGAAGATCTTCATCTTGCGAGCTGAGGCCCATTGATGCTGTAGATTTGGTTGAAAACGACGCTGTACGCACCAATACGATAACTCACCTAACAACCCAAAAAAAGATATGAGGGCTAACATCATGGAAGTCCATCGGCCCCCAATAGAACAAACATAGTCCTTCGTGCGTCTGCACTTCACTTGGTTTCATAATACCAGGTCCTGCGGAGTGTGGAATGTCTCTTGCAGTAGCTTGTTTTCCTCGCTCACACGCCAGGCAAGGCACCAATAATAGTGGAGCGTATGGAAAGAGTGGCAGCGGCTGTCAAGAAGGTGGCCAGATGGTACGGCGGCACATGTGGTCATGATGGATGACCACACGTAGGCCAAAGGAGGCTAGTCACGAACGGCGCAGCCTATGAGACTACAACACACATTTTAAGGTTTTCTCGCTTGCAACTACATGTACCCGAAAACGAAGCACGATATGCAATAGTTGGAGCCACATAAGAGCGGTAGAAGATAGTGTGCAATGTGTTGTCTTTCAGAGTAGGGGCTCCTGCAAAAAGCGGCATGTAGGTGCATTTCGGCGATGGTGCGTATAAGCAAGTGGGGTCCATTGTCAGTTCACATCCTATCGCGGACTTTGAGGTCTACCAATTACCTGCTTGCTAGAATACGTCTGCTGCAGAGATGGTGCCCGAACAAAGCGCACTTGATGTTGAACAGGCAAAAGAGTCTCGGGTCCTTTGGCTTGTCCCAATGTGACCTGGATATGCACCACATGTATGTACCAAATGCATTTAAAAGCTGGTTCGCATGAAACAGCCAGTACGACATACAGCAAGACGGCATGGCGAACGGGCGCACCCTTTTGGGAAGCTGAGGATGCGGGGCGCCTAAGTCAAAATAATGACGAGCGAGGCAGGACAAGGAAGGCAAAATGACAAGTAAAGGGGAATACACTTTTGGAGCAAATACAGTATTTTGGGGCCGGAAATGTGTTGGGATTTGTGAAACTTTATTCATCTCCCGAACAAAAATGGTCGCGATATGGGAATCAGCGTATTAGTGCACCAAGGATTAAAAAATGTCCGCACAGATTAAGCCTGATCAGATTTCCAGGTTCTCGTCAGAAGACACTTGCTTGTGTGTGTGCTCATATGGCATCCCTTCGCTTGGACCTGGTTAGGGGTGAAGAGGGTGGATTGGTTGTGCCGTCCAGTCATTGCATATCATTGGGTCGATGGTAGTGCGATATTTTGTCCCAAAGAAAGTCGAGAAAAAAAGTGCGTAAATAAGTAAAAGATCGGCATCCCAGTCGAAGCAACACGGCTCGCTTGCATCGCATGCCGTTCCCCTCCTTTAGCCACAATACACACAAACCAGGAAAAGCATAACAGCAGACAACGTTAATGGCGTTTCTTGGGTGCATTTTCCTCCCACATCGTCGCCGAAAGTCGAGGGCCTCGGTCCTTTTGTCATGTCACCGAGCCGCCTCTGAACACAAATCTGGCTCTTTTAACCTAAGCCACACTCGGGCCCAGGCCCGGTAGCCCGTTTTCAGAGGCATTTGTTCGTTATGCAGGAAAAATAATATTTTGATAAAAAAAAGTAATAGGCCGATGTAGGCCTCCATGTCGAATCCCATATGCGTGGAAAGCATGAACAGTTAATATGGGAAGAAGCGAGCACATGGTCCCTCTCGGAAAGAGCCTTGTTTCTAATTCCCGTAGGTAATATATTATGAACCGAAATAGAAGATGCGATCAAAACAAAAGTTACTTGGGGGCCGAGTTACATCGTGCTAAGATATAATCACGGTGAACATGTGTTTCGTTATAAAAGCAACACTTATCGTGAAACTCAAGACGAACGACTCAGCAAGAATAAATGAGATCGGTGCCAAAGTATCGTGATTTCCTTATATATAAGTTCAATTTGCATCACAGGCTGCTTGATATAGTGGTTCATTAACAGAGTCGTGATTTCATGCCTTTTATTGAAATAGCAGATAGCCGTTGAGTAGAGCTTCTCCAAAGGGACTCTATAATGGCTACGCTGGCTATTGAATCCGACTATGTGAGGATGATTCTGGGCATTTACTGACACGTTTTATTTTCACAATTTTCGTAGTTCACTGTTATTCTCCTCCAGGAGGTCGTATCGAGAGCGTTGCAGAGTTGTAAACAAACCAAACTAAATCAGGGCGGTTTTCAACTGGACTGTATTAAACTTCAGTGGGTGGTTGGTTTGAGCTTCAAAAATCTGTGTTAGTCAGCCCACAGGCTCCACACCAGGGCCCAACTACGTGGGGTCCGCTGTAGCCTTCACGCAGGCACCTGCAAAGGCGCAACGGCACCAGCAATTAAAAGAATTACAAAAATAATTAGTAAAAGAAAGCTAGCACCACCGAAAAAATAAAGAAGCAGCCAGAAAGGCAGAAAAATAGGAGTAGCAGGCACCGCCAAAAGCCGCCACGGGCTTGCTCCTTTCGAACCTCCCCCACCAAGGTCAAATTCGGTGAAAAGCATCACGACCTCTGGACTCGCGTCGATACCAGCACACCGGCCGATTTCGACACGCTCCTCCGTTCCACCCTCCTATACCACCACCCGAAACTCCTCTTCTGATCCTTCCCAGACCATGTCGGCCGCACAGCTTCTCAACCCCAAAGCCGAGTCGAGAGTACGTCCCCCATTTGCGCCGCCTTTGCCCCTATCTTCTTTGGGGACAATGCTTTTTATCCAGGCTTCAGCTCGAGAAGCTCTTGTCGGATCGTAATACCGTTCGTTCGGCCTGATGACAGTGCTAACAATTGACCACAGAGGCGCGGTGAGGCATTGGCTGTGAACATCGCCGCCGGCGAGGGCCTGCAGGATGTGCTCAAGTCAAATCTGGGCCCGCTGGGGCACCATTAAGATGTAGGATCTTTCCCCCTTTGTCGCTTCACCTCGGTTCTTTTTTATGTGCAAAGGCTAATCTGTTTGCTTTGCACACAGGCTCGTCGATGGCTCCGGCCAGATCAAGCTCACAAAGGACGGCAACGTTCTGCTCCGCGAGATGCAAATACAGAACCCCACGGCCGTCATGATTGCCCGCGCGGCCACCGCACAAGACGACATTTGTGGCGACGGCACCACGTCCGTCGTGCTGCTGGTTGGCGAGCTGCTGAAGCAGGCCAACCGCTACATCTCCGAGGGCCTGCACCCGCGCATCATCACCGACGGCTTTGAGATTGGCAAGGCCGAGGCGCTCGCGTTTCTCGACAAGTTCAAGCTGCCCAAGGAGGTCGACCGCGAGCTGCTGCTGTCCGTCGCCCGGACATCGCTGGCCACAAAGCTCAACGCCACCCTCGCCAACAAGCTGACGCCGGACATTGTCGACGCCGTACTCGCCATCTACCAGGCGCCGGCCAAGCCCGACCTGCACATGGTGGAGATTATGAAGATGCAGCACCGCACAGCGTCCGAGACGCAGCTGATTCGCGGTCTGGCGCTCGACCACGGTGCGCGCCACCCGGATATGCCCAAGCGCGTCGAGAACGCCTCGATCCTGACGCTCAACGTCAGCCTCGAGTACGAGAAGACGGAGATCAACTCGAGCTTCTTCTACTCGAGCGCCGAGCAGCGCGACAAGCTGGTCGACAGCGAGCGCCGCTTTGTGGACGCCAAGCTCAAGAAGATTGTGGAGCTCAAGAAGCAGGTGTGCGGCAACGACCCCAACAAGGGCTTTGTGCTCATCAACCAAAAGGGCATTGACCCGCTGTCGCTCGATGTGCTGGCGAAGAACGGCATCTTTGCGCTGCGCCGCGCCAAGCGCCGCAACATGGAGCGCCTGCAGCTGGTGTGCGGCGGCGTCTCCCAGAACAGCGTGGACGACCTGACGCCTGACATTCTGGGCTGGGCGGGCGTGGTCTACGAGCAGCAGCTTGGCGAGGAGAAGTACACGTTTGTCGAGGAGGTCAAGGACCCAAAGTCGGTCACGCTCATGATCAAGGGCCCCAATCAGCACACCATTACGCAGATCACCGACGCCGTCCGCGACGGCCTGCGCAGTGTCTACAACATGATTGTCGACAAGAGTGTTGTTCCCGGTGCCGGTGCCTTCCAGGTGGCCTGTGCCGCCCACCTCAAGTCGGACGCCTTTGCCAAGACGGTCAAGGGCAAGGCCAAGTGGGGTGTTGAGGCCTTTGCTGATGCCCTGCTCATCATTCCCAAGACGCTGGCTGCCAACGCTGGTCTCGATATCCAGGATGCCTGTACGTGCCCAGCCACGCAGTCCCCCCATCTCTCTCTATTTTTGTTTTGCGTACTCTATGCTAATTATTTAGTGGCCGGTCTCCAAGACGAGCTCTCCGAGGGCAATGTCGTCGGTATCGACCTGACGACTGGTGAACCCATGGACCCCGAGCTGGAGGGTGTCTACGATTCGTTCCGTGTGCTGCGCAACTGCATTGCTTCGAGTGCCGGCATCGCATCCAACCTGTTGCTCTGCGACGAGCTGCTCAAGGCTCGCCAGATGGGCCGGCAAGGCGGTCCTGGACCCGGCATGGATGGTCCAATGACGGGACAAGAGTAATAGGGAGGGCGAGACCTAGAAAAAAAAGCGGTGGGAGAGTAAAGCTACAATCTAAAGATGCTGTATGAATAGCTGCAAATACCTAACATCGAAAAAAAGACAGGTAGGCGTTTCTCTTTGTAGACGTGGCTTAAAAATACAATGGTTCTTACATTTGAGCAAAGGAATGGGTCGTCCATGTGAATTTGGAGTTGATTGATTGCACGTGACCCAATGTTGGAGGCGACGTCCCTTTTCCTGGACCAAAAAAAGTCTTATCGGCTGATAAGGCAAAAAAAAGTCAATAGAGGGGCAGAATACATCGCGACGTCCATCTGGCCTCTCCTAACTTCCGTCGCAGCCCAATTTGTTCTTTTGCAACAATTTCGATTTGCTAGTTGATTTTGATCAAAATGGCTCCCTACGACAGCGACTCGTCCGACGACGAGGATGTCGGCACTCGAAACTACACCGAGACCAACGTGCTTCTCGGCTATGCCGATCCTGAGGACCAAGACGCCGAAGACGATGCTGCCGAAAACAATGAGACTGTAAGCCGCCTCGGTGGCCGCCCGGACTGGATTTCTGGGGGCAAAGCACCGCCCTCTGCGGGCCTGGCACGCTGCCTTGTGTGCAAGGCACTACTCGTTCTGCTCCTCCAGCTCAACGGTGAACTCCCCGACCGGTTTCCAGGCCACGAGCGTCGGTTGTATGTGCTGGCCTGCCGTAACAAGGCATGTCGGCGCAAGCCAGGGAGTGTGCGTGTTATTCGTGGTGTGCGCGTGGATGCCGCGGTGGCAGAAGCCGCCGCTGCTGAGAAGGCGGCAAAAGTGAAGAAGGCCGAGACCACACAGGCGAGCAAGACCGTCGGCGCGGCTCCAATGCTGGGCAACTCCCTCTTTGGTGCGGCGAACCCGTTCTCGGCTGGTGGCACAAGCAGCAACAACGCAAACCCTTTCTCCCTCGGGGGCTCGGCATCTCCGTCTATAAGCGGCACATCGAATCCCTTCAGTCTCGGAGGCGCAGCATCCGCACCGGCAGCCAAAGCCCCAACGGCAAAACTGCCGACATCCCCTTCCGAAAAGACACAACAGTCGACCGACGACGCGGCAAAAGACCTGCCCAAGACCTTTGCAGAGACACTTGCGATCAACGACGACAAGTCAGAAACGACCGCAGTCACGACAGCCGCGCCTCCCGAGCCTTGGCCGCCAGCCAACTCTTGGCCCGCTGCATACCCTGTCAGCTGGATTGCAGACGCCGAGTATGAGACGCTCGACCCGACGCCGGCCGCGATCCCTGGTGTTGTTACGGAGACGATGGAGGTGGAGGGCGAGTTGGCTGGCGGCAGCGGTGGTGGAAAGGAGGACAAATTTGTCTTTGAGTCCAGCATGGACGCTGCTTTCCAAAAGTTCGCCGACCGTGTGGCCCAGAACCCGGACCAGGTAATTCGGTACGAGTTCAATGGCCTGCCTCTCTTCTACAACAAGGACGATGCGGTCGCCGGCATCTGGGGCCAGAACCCTGCTGGTGGCAGCATATCTACCATCCTGGCATCGACCTCGGGCCGTCTGCCGCCTTGCCCCAACTGCCGCAGCCGGCGCGTGTTTGAGGTGCAGCTGATGCCGCACGCCATTGACCTGCTGGAGGCGGATGAGCTGGGATTGGAGGGCATGGACTGGGGTACGGTCCTAGTGGCTGTGTGCGAGAAAGACTGCCAGGTACAAGCGACGCCGGCCGGCGAGGCGAGCTACCTAGAGGAGTGGGCGGGTGTGCAGTGGGAGGATCTGGAGGCCCAACGGCGGTAGAGAGTGTATATTCAATTAACGGAAGGCATTAGGTTACTTGTTAAAAGCGTTTCATTTTCATGTAGTTCATTATAAAGATCACTCGGGTGAAAGGTATAATCTACGACACTTCTTACTTTATTGCGCAATAATATATTTGTATTAATAGGACTCAAGTAACGCCTGTACAAACAAAACGGATATGCCAGCCGCTCTTTTTCGTTTTTTTTCTCTACCACAAAAAGAAGGATTCCCGCATCCCAGATATTTTTTGTCGCCTAAATAACCCATGACTTCATCATACCCAGACCGCACAAGCGCTCTCTGTCTCTTTCTATGCAGTCTCCTCCCACGATCTCCGAATGACGCGCGAAAACATCTCAATGTTGACATCCTCCCGGATCTCAGTCTTCTTGGCCTCGTTCTCGGCGTTCTTGGGAATCTGCACCGTCGCGCCGTCCACCTTCCAGCCGCACGTGCCCGTCACAAACTGGCGCACGGCGTCCTCGCTCAGACCCAGCCATTGCTCCAGGATGGGTACCTGGATCTCGCGGAACGCATGGCTGATCAGCTGTGCAATGCGCACGCGCACGCCCTCCTCGAAGCCTTCAATATCGGTCGTCAGGTCGGCGTACAGGTCGTCCGAGTCCATCGTCGCCCAGAAGCGGGCAAACTGTGCACCCTCCAGCAGGGCGTTGAGCGCGCGCAGCTTGGACACGGCCTCGGCGAGCTCTGATGAGACGGTGTTGTTAGAGGCGGCGGCGGCAGCGGGTGATGCCACGGAGGGGCTCAGTAGGTGCATGGCCAGGTTGAACTGCGGGCTGGGGAATTCTGTCATCGCCTTGACCAGAATGTTGGTGATCACCTCGTCCTTGATACGGTCGGGGTTGAGTTGGTAGCTAAAGGGCAACAAAGAAAAAAAGAGAAGGTTGATATGTCAGCCCGAGTCCATTGAAGACGTATATGCTCTTCAAAAATTTGTAACAAAAAGGTATTTTGTCTCGTAAAATCAGAAATTCACACAATTTGACATCAAGCAAATATTGTCAGGTAATAGGAAACGTTTATATAGTCATCATCAAAGTCGGCAGTGGATGAGGCCACACACATGACAGGAGACGGGGCATTGGCAAAGGGAATATGCGACAACCAGGGTGTTCGCCAAAAACGAGGACACCTCCGGCAACGATCAAAAAACATACAGCTTCAGTAGTGTCCGGTTAGCATTGCAGTCCGTGAACCGGTCCTCGCATTGCTGTGTCAGGTACGCCTCCAGGCTGCCGACGGCCTCGGGGTTGTAACGCTCGAGACCGTTGATGATGGCAGCGATCTGCTCCGGCCGCTCCGCTGGGTCTTCGCTGCTCATGCTGGGCAACGTGAATGCGATGTGGATGGTCGATGGAAGACGGTGACGATACGGGTGTTGCGAGACAATGATGGGTCGGCTGGTGGGGGTGGGTGCGATCGAGGACAGTGTCGTCGTTTTCTTGTGCGGCCGCGGGGCAGAAAAGGATTTGTTCAGTTTTCGCGATGCCATTTTTTGTGAAGAGCGGTGGCTGAAACGGGACTAGCGCCACATTTGGCACGAAAGAAGCAGGGGCCCACAGGGCAATTCTTCCCCTTTCTCCACAAGTTACTGTCACGTGCTCACCCGTTTCTGGAAGTCGCCGCCATTCAGGCAGCCAACGCCTGCTGTAGTGGCCGTGGTCACGTCAAGAAGGCGCTGAACATCAAAGAGCTCCACCGCGATGCGTTTGCTCACCATGTTGGTCATTTGTCAACCTTTTGCATCCTTCAACTACCACGCCAACTGGGCAAGCAATGGGAGAGACTGCACAATGAACCACGCATACTAGAGGAACTGGCGGCTCCGGTTTTGGAGAACCTACGGGTACTATGCCGAGCCCAGCAAAGAAGAGAAAGCTCAATGCTGAAAATGCAAAAGGCACACAGCCTCGGGGTCTGGAGTATTTCTTTTCCAAGCAGAGACAGACGGGGAGCTTAAGCGTTCCAGCGACTATCAGCAACGAGGATGAAACCGATGTCGCGGCCTCGTCCAGCAATGGCGCTGAGTTCACCGGAACGGAGATGACCGACGAGGAGCTCGCCAGAAAGCTCCAAGCAGAATGGGACGAGGAGACTAGGCGAGAACAACAGAGTCTCCCCATTTTGACGGCATCAGAGGACGTCGTACCGGATGTACCTGACACTGGGGGGCCCCAACAAGAAGCTGTGTCGCCTCTATCTCCGCCACCTCCGTCCTCAAAGAACACACTCTCGCTTCAGTCCGTGACGACCGCAGAGGATGCCGTGGCGGCCCTGATCCCGCTCGATGAAAGTCCGTTGGTCTTTGAGCCTTCCAAGTACATCCCGGCATTGAAAAGGCAGTGGGCGGTGGCAAAACCAGGCGGCGCAACCAGTGGCGACGCTTCCTATGCACTTTTGACGCGTTGTTTCGTCCTCGTCAACGCCACACAGAGCCGGATCAAGATTGTGGATACTTTGGTCAACTGTCTTCGTCTCTTGATCGAGGCGGATCCGGAGAGCTTGTTGCCTGCCGTGTGGCTGGCCACCAACGCCATCAGTCCACCATATATCTCGCTCGAACTTGGCCTGGGCGGCTCTGCCATTGGCAAGGCACTCAAGCAGGTGTGCGGCCTCGACGCACGCAGCCTCAGGTCCCTCTTCCATAAATACGGGGACCCCGGCGATGTTGCCTTTGAGGCCAAGAAGAAGCAGGCGTTCACCCTACGACGGCCTCAACCGCTGACGATCCGAGGCGTCTACCTGTCCCTGGTGAAAGTGGCCAACAGCCAGGGCCCCGGCAGCGTGGAGGCGAAGCAGCGCATCGTCGACCGGCTGCTGCAGGACGCACGAGGCGGCGATGAGAGCCGCTATATTGTGCGGACATTGTGCCAGCATCTGCGCATTGGTGCGGTAAAGACGACGATGCTGATTGCGCTCTCACGAGCCTTTTTGCTCTCAAAGCCACCTCAGCGTGATGGTGCTGTGGACGGCTTTTCTTACGCCGCGCTGCAGGACCCAAAATTGCTCGCCGCAATGAAAAAGGAAGAGCTAGCGGAAGTTTGGGCCCGCGCAGAAGAAACCGTCAAGGCATGCTTTGCGCGGCGGCCAAACTACAACGACTTGGTGCCCGTCCTGCTGGAGATTGGTGTCACGGACGAACTGCTGCTGCGCTGCGGGCTGGCGCTGCACATTCCCCTGCGGCCGATG